TATATATATATATATATGTATGTATGTATGTATGTATATATACAGTATATACATATATATATACAAATTTGGCTGGCAGTGTGGGCTTGCCATAACCATGTTCTTTCATTCCAGCCTGTTCTCAATATGGCCTTGGCGTTCCAGAATGTTTTCGGTGAGAGACTGGCACAGTTGTACATACTGTCACAAAGCAGACATACTTTTTCCTTTTGAACACGCTACAGGCATTCCTAAAACAAAGTGCTCTATGCAAAATAAATAATTCACAAAACAACCTAAATGTCAGAGTAAGGAGCATGTGTCTGGTGCAACAGCACTATTTATGACCGCAGGGGTTATAGGGACTGTTATCTTGGGAACAGAAAGTCACTCACAAATAGACACTACATGACTAAAACTATGTTTTGACCTCCTACATATCCCTTCCACATCCAGTATCATCACAGAGCATTGCTTTTCTTCACGTTGGGTGAACCAGGGTAACCAGCGACCTTTTGGGTCATAGGTATTTACTCCTATATCATCTAAAACAGGCAGTGGAATGCTTTTATCATAAACAACTGGATGAGTTTTCTTCCCAGAGTTCATTCTCTCCAACTCCTTTATTCATCCCTTCTTCCCTCTGCAGATCCAAAGTTCATTCTTATGTCCCAAAAAAAAAATGGCAGCCAGGTGTGTGCCTTCATCTTAGCTCGTTCTCGCCACCCCTCCTAAAGATATATCAGGGGACTGTGGTTTGAGGCTTGACAAGTAAAAGAACATTTCCTGAAAAACATTTTAGAACTTAGAAGGTCAAATTCGAAATTAAATATAATGCATCAACCAATTCTCTTTCAAGATCATTGGTCACACTCTACAATAAGATTCAACTGGTTAACAGTTAATGCAATAGGTGTTGTGAGGCGTCATGAACAGTGAACAACAACGGCAACATTTTTTTTCGTTAAAAATATTAATTTATCTAGTTAATGCTAATATATAAATATATACCACTGTTCAAAAGTTGGGGGGGGGGGTATATTATTATTCTATTTTAATATACTTTAAAATTTAATTTTATTCCTGTTGTGGCAAAGCAGCTTTTTTTTATATAATCAGGGCTGAAATGATCATTCGTTTTGCTGCTTTCGTGAAAAACCGTGATCCATTTTTTGCAGGATTATTTGACAAATAGAAAGAAAACAGAAATATTTTGTTACATTATAAACGTCTTTACTGTTACTTTTGATCAATTCAATGCAGACTTGCTGAATAAATGTATTAATATTTTATTGACTCCAACCTTTTGAATGTCCTATTGTTAATTCATAAAACATTAGCTGATGCTTATTTATTCCACTTGAAATATAGAAAATGAACTACAATAAGTAGAAGTTAACATCAACCTAGATTAATAAATTATGTTCATTGTTAGTTCATGATACATAGTACATTAACTAATACTGTTAACAAATTGATCCTACTGTAAAATGTTGCCAAATCATTTTTCTTACCTCCATCTCTGCTTCGCATTCCATCTCTCTCTTTTTTCTTATATCATCACATTGCTACACGTATTCGTCTCCCTATGTACCAGGGCATGTGACCGCGCTTGTCTCACAGCATTCACCACACACAGTGTGGCCACAGTGATAACTAGCGGTCAAAACTACGCCTTAAAAGTGCTCTGCATCCTTTCTATTTCTCATTTTCTTTTTAAATAAGCCATAACTAGACTCAACAAGAAGTCTTCGAAAGCATCTGCATCCCTAAAGTCACCTGAACATCAAAAACGAACAACTTTATTAAAAGATGATCTTCGAAACCTTCCCCCATCAAAGGGAAAAAAAGGGAAAAAAGCGTTATTGCTCCACATTATCATGGTGTTTTTTTCACCCTAATTCTATAATATCCATATATACCTGACATGAACGTTTCCTACTCTTAGGAGCTAGGAGGCGATTAACTGCTTGTAAATAAAATAAAAAAGACAACGGAAGTTTACGAACAAAAGATAAATCCTGTCCATCCATGCAACCACGAGCTGACCTGCAGCAGAGCCCTGCTCACCTCCAGACTGCAGACCAGCACACAACAGCGATACCACAAGATTTTCAGGATGTGATGTCAATTTTACTGGAGGTGAGGGCGGGGTTAGATAGAGCGTTGTGGAGGGCAAGGATCTGCGACGAGTCCCTGCATACCCCATGAGCTTCTCAAGCACTGATTCCTGGGGTCCATAATTTGAGGAGGGCCGTTATTCTACTGGGACCATGCGGAGAACTGGAGGGGACCACAAAAATCCCCCAGACATCCTGGTCCCTTGTTCTGTCAGTAGTTAATTGTCTCACTACAGTTCAACTATCCCGCGGTGATGGGTGTGTTAATAAGACAAACATGCGTTCAGACACGCTAAGAGTTATAGTGGCCTGGGCCTGCTGTTACATAATATAATTTACTTTTTTTCATTACTGTTATTCATTATTTTCTACAATGACTTTAAACATTTAATTTTTTATCCTCTTTTTCATAGCTCATTTTCTAAAGAGTCATTGTGAAGTTTTTTTCTGTTACTTCGCTTGTATTCTCCCATCTCTCCAGGAGGCATCACAAAATCCGGGGTGCAGAGCGATCATTGGAGACGGTTTTGCGCAGTCGCACCCCTCGACGAATAGACCTCAGCATGTCCTCACCCTCCTGGGGCACTTCAGGATCGGGTTGGGACTCGGGGCCTGGTGGGGGCTGGTTTGGAAGCGAGAGGAAAGGGAACTGGGCCTCACCTAAGGCGTGAGCGCTGGCTACCAGCTCCCCGATCTTCTCCACCAGACTGTGGCGATTGGCAGCCAGCAGGTGATCTTCTTCACCTGGTTGGCCGTAGACGCTCATCTCTAAGCCGCCTACACCCCCTGAGCCCCAGGCTGTGTTAGGCAGGCTCAGCCGCTTTGGAGAGGCCTTCACGTACTCCAGCGCTCCCGGGGAGGCATCATCCGGCACATAAAAGACACATTCTTCGCTGCCCACACGGGCGGTAGGGCCTGTATACCCGCCAGGTGAGTCAGGCACAGTGGGGGTCTTGACTGGCACGATGGGTGGGCGTATAGGAATAGGGCCAGCGCTGGAGAGGGTGCGCCTCACCCCAGGCTTTGTAGAAGGTGTTCGGCGAATGGTGGCTGTGCCGGAGATACCGCCCCCTCCGCCGGGTGGTCCGCCCAGAGCACCAAGACCACTGGGCAGGCCTGCCGTGCTGGCAGGACGCTTAGTCTGTATCATGCGCCGATAGTTCTGGGCGATATTACTGTGACGGGGAATTGTGGAGGATTTATCGAATTCAGCCTGACCGTTGGCCTCAGTGTCTCCGTTCACTGAGTAACCATCATAATCGGAGCCTAACAAAAAAAATCCCACTTGTAACTTGTCAGCTCTTATAACTTGTTTTGAATTCAAATAATAATCAGTAATATCTGTTAAGGCCCAATCACACCAAGGTTGATAACTATAATAATAATAATGATACCTACAAAGTTTTCATTCTAAGAGAATAGGGAAGTCCACACCACAGCTATAGTGTCACAGTGAAATTACACAGAGAAACAATGTTGATAAAACCACTTTCAGAATGATTTGTTTTTCTAGCTGATGATTGATAAGAAGATTGACAGCCAATCAGAATCCACCTGATTTTAAAGAGCTTAAGCATTTAAAGCGGCAGATAACAACAGCAGCACGTGCTTGTAATAAACAAAGCGTTATTGTGCGTTGGTGCGGACACTAATATGGTTAGCGTTATAGCTATCACTTTTGGTGTGAACAGGCCTTTACTGAGAACATATGAGTAATTTTGACTATGTGTTACCCTGTGAGGGGATGGTATCTTCTGAGCAGGATGGGGTGGTTGTCTGAGTGCTGTATCCACTTGAGTACTGCAGGGAGTCTCGGCTGCTCTTCTGCTGCTCCATGCTGAGGCCTCGTGTCAGGACCATAGCTAGATCACTAGCAGCTGGGGAAACCTCCTCACCATGCTGCACCATTACACAATACATACAGACAGTTACATCAAGCACAGACTACACGCATGTAGCTCAATGTGTGTGCATATGTAGACCTAAACTTTGAATCCTAAACTATGAAAATCGAATTAATAAAAATTGACTAAAAGAAAATTATAAACATAAATACTATTCTAATCAATTATGTAAAAATAGTATTCCAATGTATTTATTTATGATACATAATTTGCAAACTGTGAGTCAAGGAGTCAGGCATCTTTATCCAAAAATGCTTAAAATGCACATCAATATATCAATTAAAATGTGGTGGAAAGGGTGGAAATCAAAAAAGAAAAATTACTTATTTTGTTATTAATGTATATCCAATGTTGGACACTGTCAACTATATGTGACCCTGGAACACAAAACCAGTCAGAAGGGTCAATTTTTCGAAATTGAGATTTATACACCATCTGAAAGCTGAATAAATAAGCTTTCCATTGATGTATGGTTTGTTAGGATATGACATTTGGCCGAGATACAGCTATTTGAAAATCTGGAATCTGAGGGTGCAAAAAAATCAAAATACTGAGAAAATCGCCTTTAAAGTTGTCCAAATGAAGTTCTTAGCAGTGCATATTACTAATCAAAAATACAGTAAGAAATGTACAAAATATCTTCATGGAACATGATCTTTACATAATATCCTAATGATTTTTGGCATAAAAGAAAAATCAATAATTTTGACCCATACAATGTATTTTTTACTATTGCTACAAATATACCCCAGCGACTTAAGACTGGTTTTGTGGTCCAGGGTCACATATAAGCTAGTGAGTGTGAAGTGCATTTTAAGAAACTTTAGCTGTATTGACAAAGCTGCTCATTTTCAAAATTCTTAATTTAAAGAAAATAGTAGTGGCAATGTATTAAAACAAATTAAACTAAATAATAAAAATTAAATAATATAATTCCAGAAGTGTTATTCAGCACTTAGAATTAATTTTTCTATTAGATTTGCATGACTTTTTTAGTTGTTTGTGATTGCAGAGTTAGAAATAGAAATTTCAATGTTTAATATACGGTGAAAGTTACCTTGGCAGCGATAGTGGCCGGGGTCATCCTTGGCCTCTGGGGGTCTTCCGAATGCATTCCAGAATACCCCTGTGACTGAGGAGAGGTTTCTGCCTCCCGCAGCCTATCCAGAGGCTCCTTCCTCCTCTGAAGTGTGCTGGCTAGCAGCTGCTCACCGGAACCTACCTTGGACCAGTCCTGAGGAAGTAGACTCGGTTAATTCAGTTCAGTCTATAGCAATAGATGCAACGGTCTCAGGGGCGAGAGAGAAGACTGGCCCACGATCCAGCAGTTTGAGTGTCCTTTCAACAGATACTTTCTTATGTGTTTTAGAGAAAACCCAATCTCAGTGTTTGAATAAACTGATAGGTACCTTCCGTGGTCTGCTCGGTTTAGCAAATCTCACAGCCAGAGATTTGAAACCAGCTTCATGCAGCCAACAGAAAAGGTGTGCGTTAAAAAGCAAAATGAGGTAATGAATGAGGCTAAGCAGAATGAAATCAAATCAAAATCACTGTCAGTAAGTGTTATTCAGGAGGCACATATTCAACACACACAAAAAGAAGAGGAAATAAACAAAACTGCAATGAGAATTGCCAATGGAGACAAACCTTCCAGCAAGGAACCTTGGATGTGGGAGAGGGTGTGTTGGATCCAGGGGAGCGGTTATAGGGTGGGGACGCAGGAAGTATGACAGAGAAAGGCCTGATGGAGCCAGGAGTGTGATAGAGAGCAGGGCGGAAGGTAGCGAAGGACGAGCCAAACTGCGGAATGGAGAGATAAGACCGAGACCGTCAGAGTAGCAAGAGACCCCCTTCCTTTTACTCATGGGCATGGGAGCCTTTGTGTGTGTGGCTTTGCAGATACATGCTGAGAGTGGCAGGAAAGATCAGATCTGATGACAGCACAAAGACGAAACCGGCAAGAGAGACAGAGAAGACCCCAACCTGCCAATCAGCAGCACAACCCTCATGGGTCCCACAGACAATCCAAAACACTGACAAGCCAAAACAATCCATCACTGACGGTTTCAGCACATGTATGTCTTATGGACAGAGTACTTGATACTTACTGTGGTTGGAGAGCTACACTCACTAACTGACTGGCAGGTCTCAGATGCATCCGAGGACGCTGAACTTGATGACTTCTGTAAGAAAGACCATAAAAGATGGGGTATCAGCAGGGAAACATTTAGAGGGCCTTCGTCAACGTTTTATTTATTTTTTTAGATTTGTGGTACTGCTTGCAATAAATGGACACATCATAAATAGAAAAATCACATTTTAAATTAATAACAGTTTTAACCAAATTTCAACACCTTCAGCTTGGAAAATGTAGTGTTGCCAAGTGAATGTCCAGTGGAGAGGACAAGAGAGAAGAGTTTGGAGTCAGTCAAATGTATTCATTTATTTATTTTCTTTTTTGTTAGTTTGTTATAATAAGTGAATGCTCAGCATGGATGCATTCAATTGATTAAATTGTTACAAAAAAGTTTCAAATAAATGCTGTTCTTTACAAAAATAAAAATGAAAACAAAGCTATATTCAGCATTGAAAAAAATATCTTTAACACCAAATATGCATATTATAATTATTTCCAAAGGATCATGTGACATGACTGGAGTAATGGCTGGAATAAATAACAGTTTAAAATATATTAAAATTTAAAACTGTTATTTAAAATGTTATTAAACATTTCATAATATTACTGTTTAATGTATTTTTTATCAAATGCATATTTTGAGTGCATACAAAACTTTAACTTTCAAAGACATTTAAAAATCTTACTGACCTTAAAATTTTGAAAGATAGTGTATTTGAATTATTACATGTACAAATAGATTTTTAATGTTGTTAAACACAATGAAACACATAATCAAAAAACAAGTAAAGACTTTTAGTATTCCTAAAATTTATGTGCCATTTTTTTCTCAGTATAGTTTAGCACTTTTTTCCATAGTTTTTTTTTTTTGTCATCTGCTGGTTGTTTTCATATCTACTGCATTATTTTAAAGGTGTGTTTTTATGCTTTAAACATTATATATATATATATATATAGAGAGAGAGAGAGAGAGAGAGAGAGAGAGAGAGAGCATCTAGAAGTGTTATATACTTATGAAATGTAAGGCTAAATGTAAGTTACAGCATTTAAAATAAAAACTGACAGTGCCATTATTTCCAACACTTACGACTTAAAAGTAAAACTAAAAAGATTCAAAGGGTTGTTAAAAAAGATATGCATTAATCATGAACACTGACTGGTGTGTTTCTGAATTTTCTATGCTAGTTTGACCCTCGATATGCTTATCCTTCAGTGTGTCACACACCTCAGCCATGTGTTTGGTAGATTCACAGCCAGGTAAAATCCCCTTTTCTTTCCATGGTCAGAGAGAGTAGCATGTGAGCTCCGAGACGAGTGCATGTCTCCTGCTTAGCTCCAAAGAAAGTGCTTAAGAAAGCACCTCCTCTGTGAATATATTATAAAGCCTGTGTTCCACATAAAATGCTTTACAAGCTAATTTCAAGCACTGCTTCCTATCACAATTTTTCCACTCAAGAATTGTTTGACATACAGTGGTTTATATTTCTTGTCTACAAGAGGTCCCTATAATCTTTCAGATGCAGATAGGGAATGTTGATTCATGTTTGAAGCTGGGACACAGATGTGCAATAACACTTTTTTCCATCATAGGAATAAATTACATTTTAAAATATATTAAAATAGAAAACAGCTATTTAAATTGTAATAATTGTTCACAATATTATTATTTTTTACTGTATTTCTGATCAAATAAATGCAGCCTTGCTGAGCATAAGATACTTCTTTCAAAAACATTTAAAAAAATGACCAACCCCAACCTTTTGAACAGTGCTGTATATAAATATCATAAATAAATATTTACAATCTATTAAAACAATGAAAAGAGTCTGTGAGGGATAGACTTACAGTCTTTACAATGCCACGCACATCCTAGATCACATAATTTTCACAACTTTCAGATCTGTTTTATGGAGTTTTTGTCTACTGCAGTTTTTTTTTTTCCCCCATCGGCTTTGTTCAACAACAGTACATTCCATTGAATGCCAAGTTCTTCTATCCCTCACAACTTTGTTTTCATTCCTGTCAAAAAATAAGATCTATACCTTCATGTTACCAAAATTTCAACAGTACCATGAAGGCAGCAGGAATAAATACTTTGAAATAAATACCTGGCTGGTTATATCAGAGGGCATGGGTGAGGGGGGTTTGGAGTAGACGTTGGCGTCCTGGGAGATGAAGCCGGAGTCGTGGGATGAGACGCTGCTTAGGCGGTGTGCAGCGGTTGTTAGCGGGTGGGCCACGCTGCGGTAGCGACAGGATGAACTGGGTGAGTGAGTCTGAGAGCCCCCAGAGGATCGAGAGGCGCTACTATGTGCGCTGTTTACACTGCTGCTGGGGCAAGGGAAAGTGCAACAGGACAGAGAACCGGGGGTGCAAGGGAGTGGTACGGTCATATATGGGCAGGTTATATGGCGATAAGTGTGAAACACACCCATAAGATTAGAATGAGCAGGCAAGGGTTTTACAGGATGACAGGAACATGGTTGACAGATGAAGGCAAGAAAAAAATTTATATGATAATAATTAACAAACATTTGAGGGACAAAAAAAGCAATGAAATTGTCAGTAAAAAAGAGATGGACAAACAAAGGTCTCAAGCAGTTATGAGGTTGATGGGTAAGGATGGAGGGCAGAGTGGGGGGCAGAGGGAGAACATATGTAAGACAAAGTTTGACAGGTGTGACACAGGGGGCCTAGTATGGAGATTGAAGGTTGTGTTCAGATATGTCGGCCTTGCGCAGCCAACGCACTTGAAGCAACCCCCATGACTCCATGCGAGGCGGACAAACAGGTACTAAATGACACTATTAAAAAAGGAAGCTTTAATTGGCCCTGGAGCCAAAGCAAAATACTAATGGTCTAATCAAAAACTCTAGAGGAACTGGCTATGTAAAAGTGATCTTAAAATACTTTCAATTTGTTTTGAAGCAATTACTTCATATTCCGGGTTAAAAACAGCACAGGAATATTAGACAGATTCTGTTGTTGAGGTTCTTAAATGGTTTTTAACCTGGAATATTAATTTAAGAGAGCAAAGCACTGAAGTTACATTAATCAGACACAACTAATTGCTAGTGAATTATAAAAGTAATAACATCATATTAAACTAGCTACTTTAGTCTACTTGTGTTCATTATAATTGTAGGTAATTGCTATGTTTCATCTTTGAGTTCATCAAAAGGAATCAATGGATGAATAACATGAATCAATAAGCATTAAACTGTGCCTGTTGAAAGCAAGGCTCTTACAGAATACAAAACAACATTTTCATGACCGCAGTGCTCTGTCTCTAATATGTTGTTGGGGTTGATGTCAACATACAGTGAGATTGTATAGCACAGCAGTAGCATTAGCAGCCCCCTCTTTCTCTGTACACGCACACACTTGCATTCAAAATATACACACACTCACAAAATATAACCTGGCTGCAAAAACAACAGCTAGTAGCTAGTTTCTAAGTAGTTATTTAGTTTATGCAAGATGGACATTGGCACTGGCATACCCTTAAAGGCTTAGTTCACTCAAAAATTACAAATCTGTTATCATTTACTCACTCTCATGTCATTCTAAACCCATAAGATTTTCTGTCTCTTTTGAAGTCCATTCCACAAAAACCCTGGTTCCTCGAGGGAAAGAGACGCTGCGTTGGAAAACGCTAGGGGAACGCCTTCTGTGACCACGCTCTGAATAACATGTGAAATCAGTCAAACAGCTGAGCGGGACGTCACGGGCAGGTGACGTCATGACCAGGAAGCTATAAAAGCACATGCGGCGGAGCCAGCGTCAGCTTCAGGAATGAGGCAAGTGCTGGCAGGGATGCCGGAAGTATGGCACCGAGACGAAGCGTCTCGTTGCCTCGAGGAACCAGGGTTACATACGTAACCTGAGACATTCCTCTTCAGGAACTCGAGCTGCATTGGAAAACGCTAGGGGAACGAGAATACCCACGCCGCCAGACTTCCAAATCTCTGCCTAGTGTGGAAGACTGCACATCTAGGGTGAGAGAACAGAAGAGCCCGGAGTGGCTAAAGTAGGTGGGGCCCGCCATCCAGAAGGCCAATTTCTGGAGGAGTGAATCTTGACCCCCAAAGGAGAGGGGAGATCAGAGGACTCGAGGCTATGGAATAGCATCCTGATCCACCACTTAGCATAAGCTTCTCTGGCCGGAGGCCTCAGCCTCAGAGCACCGCAGAGGAAACGTGTAAGAAGAGGGTGTCTTCCCACTGAATGGCCACCGGGAGGGGCGTGGTAGGCCACAATGGCCGCCACGAAGACCTCTAGGGTGGATAAACAGGCCTGCATGAACTCCAGAACTGTACCAAATGGGCAGTTAGCCGGGTCTGGCTGGCGGTCTCCGCAGAAATACAGTTTCCTCATAGAGGGAGCTCTGGATGGCGTATAGTCTCAACAACCTCGATTGAGAGACTGGAAGTTATGAGTTGTGCCTCCTCAGAGGCCACACCCACAGCTCCTGTGGGGGGCGTGCCCTCTGCCTGTGAGAGGAGATCTCTCCTGACGGGAATCTCCCATAGAGCGCCTTGTTTTGAAGCAATTACTTCATATTCCGGGTTAAAAACAGCACAGGAATATTAGACAGATTCTGTTGTTGAGGTTCTTAAATGGTTTTTAACCTGGAATATTAATTTAAGAGAGCAAAGCACTGAAGTTACATTAATCAGACACAACTAATTGCTAGTGAATTATAAAAGTAATAACATCATATTAAACTAGCTACTTTAGTCTACTTGTGTTCATTATAATTGTAGGTAATTGCTATGTTTCATCTTTGAGTTCATCAAAAGGAATCAATGGATGAATAACATGAATCAATAAGCATTAAACTGTGCCTGTTGAAAGCAAGGCTCTTACAGAATACAAAACAACATTTTCATGACCGCAGTGCTCTGTCTCTAATATGTTGTTGGGGTTGATGTCAACATACAGTGAGATTGTATAGCACAGCAGTAGCATTAGCAGCCCCCTCTTTCTCTGTACACGCACACACTTGCATTCAAAATATACACACACTCACAAAATATAACCTGGCTGCAAAAACAACAGCTAGTAGCTAGTTTCTAAGTAGTTATTTAGTTTATGCAAGATGGACATTGGCACTGGCATACCCTTAAAGGCTTAGTTCACTCAAAAATTACAAATCTGTTATCATTTACTCACTCTCATGTCATTCTAAACCCATAAGATTTTCTGTCTCTTTTGAAGTCCATTCCACAAAAACCCTGGTTCCTCGAGGGAAAGAGACGCTGCGTTGGAAAACGCTAGGGGAACGCCTTCTGTGACCACGCTCTGAATAACATGTGAAATCAGTCAAACAGCTGAGCGGGACGTCACGGGCAGGTGACGTCATGACCAGGAAGCTATAAAAGCACATGCGGCGGAGCCAGCGTCAGCTTCAGGAATGAGGCAAGTGCTGGCAGGGATGCCGGAAGTATGGCACCGAGACGAAGCGTCTCGTTGCCTCGAGGAACCAGGGTTACATACGTAACCTGAGACATTCCTCTTCAGGAACTCGAGCTGCATTGGAAAACGCTAGGGGAACGAGAATACCCACGCCGCCAGACTTCCAAATCTCTGCCTAGTGTGGAAGACTGCACATCTAGGGTGAGAGAACAGAAGAGCCCGGAGTGGCTAAAGTAGGTGGGGCCCGCCATCCAGAAGGCCAACTTCTGGAGGAGTGAATCTTGACCCCCAAAGGAGAGGGGAGATCAGAGGACTCGAGGCTATGGAATAGCATCCTGATCCACCACTTAGCCTAAGCTTCTCTGGCCAGAGGCCTCGGCCTCAGCATACCGCAGAGGAAATGTGTAAGAAGAGGGTGTCTTCCCACTGAATGGCCACCGGGAGGGGCGTGGTAGGCCACAATGGCCGCCACGAAGACCTCTAGGGTGGATAAACAGGCCTGCATGAACTCCAGAACTGTACCAAATGGGCAGTTAGCCGGGTCTGGCTGGCGGGCTCCGCAGAAATACAGTTTCCTCATAGAGGGAGCTCTGGATGGCGTATAGTCTCAACAACCTCGATTGAGAGACTGGAAGTTATGAGTTGTGCCTCCTCAGAGGCCACACCCACAGCTTCCACAGCTCCGGGCGGGGGCACGCCCTCCGCCTGTGAGAGGAGATCTCTCCTGACGGGAATCTCTCCTAGAGCACTGTCGAGGAGAGAAATCAGGCCTGAGACCCAACTCGGCCCGGCCAGAACAGGGATACTAACAACAGACGGGCCCCGTCCCAGCGCACTCTCTCTAGAACTCCCGGGAGCAGAACAATTGGAGGAAAGGCGTATAGACGAAGCCTCGGCCACGTCTGTACCATGGCATCCAGCCCCAGTGGAGCTGGATGAGTCAGAGAGAACCAGAGGGGACAGTGTGATATCATATGAGTCGCAACAGGTCCACCTGAGCCTGGCCAAACACTCTCCATATCTGCTTCACCACCTCGGGGTGAAGCATCCATTCCCCGGGCCTCAGCCCCTGCCTCGACAGGATATCTGCTCCCTTCTTGAGATGCCCAGGAATGTAAACTGCTCTCAACGAGAGGAGCTTGTCCTGGGACCACACAAGTATCTGGTGCGCCAGCTTGTACAAGGGGCGCTAACACAGAACTCCCTGGTGGTTGATGTAAGAGACCACCACTGTGTTTCAGAACTCGAAACATGGCCAGCATCTCCAGACAATTGATATGCCACGTCAGATGGCGACCACTCCACAAACCGCGGGCAGGGTGGCCACTCATGACCGCACCCCAACCGGTGAGGGATGCATGCGTCGCTAGCTTACGCAGCGACAAGGAGCTCCCAGCACCAGGCCCTGAGACAAGAACCAAGGTTTCCTCCACATGTCTAAGGCACGTAGGCACCTCCGCGTGACCTTAAGCATGCGAAGCGGGTTTCCCCTCGGGGAGAACCCCTTGTTCTTGTGCCACCACTGTAGGGGTCTCATGTACAGCAGGCTAAGAGTTATCAGGTTGGACGCAGCTGTCATCAGCCCAACCAGACTGGAACTGCTTGACAGTGAGTGACCGGCCTTCTCTTACTCTCGTGACTGAGGTGAGGATCGACTCGATCCAAGCAGGAGACATACATGCCTGCATCGTGGTCGAATCCCACACCACGCCCAGATAAGTGGTTCTTTGTACTGGAGAAAGCACACATTTCTTAGCGTTAAGTCTTAACCCCAGCTCCTTCGTGTGAGCGAGAACGACATCTCGATATCAAACCGCCATCCACTCTGACTGAGCTAATATCAACCAATCGTCGATGTGGTTGAGTCATGAAAGTGTGGGGTGAGAGTGCAAGGCCTAAGGAAGAACCAGTATTGATAGGTTTTGCCCCCAAAAGCAAACCTCAGGAACTTCCAATGATGAGGAAGGATTGAAATATGTGCATCTTTTAGATTGATCGTGTAGCAACTCAGCTCATGACAGGAAATATGAATAATTAACCATAACTAGTTATAATTAACTATTCATATTTTAGATCCGCTGTAGATATTTAGCTGACCACTCAGGGTCAACTGTCTTGTCAATTCTAAGAACGTTAATTTCCTGGTTAAGGGAAATAACTTTCTTACTGTACAATTCTACCAAGCTTGTAACGTAAATCTGCATGATTAAGTGACTCCGGTTATGAGCAAACAATGAACATGTCAAGTGTGATACAAGTAAGGTTTTATTAACTACATAATGCCTTTCTGAGGTGTTAGGTGCATTTCGGGGGAAGGGTCCATAGACCCTCGTAATTGGCCCTTTGGTTAGGTGAGGGGGCGTTAGATATTATTTGTTAAATATAACAAAAAGTTGTGTGTCTGATTGGTCCAAATGCTACAATCGTGACACATCAGTCCTCGAACTTGGTCTGCGACACTACCTGTTTGAGTGCGAGTGTGCTGAACTTCAGTCGCATGACTGAGCGGTTCAATAGGCGCAGATCTAAAATAGGACTCAACCCCCATCCTTCTTCGGAACAATGAAGTACCGGCTGTAGAACCTTGTGCGGAGGGACCACCTCAATGGCCTCCTTCTCTAAGATAGTAACTACTTCTTATTCTAATACCAGAGCCTGCTCGGGACCCACTAGAGTGGGGGCCCCCATTGAATCGAGGCGGACGAGAACCGAACTGGATTCTGTAGCCTCTTCCTACAGTACGCAGGACCCATTGAGACACATTTGGCAGTAGCTTCCACACTGCTAAATAATCTACTAAGGGAATCAGTCTCTCGAAACTGATCTCTGGTGTGCCCAGAACGGCTAGTCCGGTGCCCTGTAGCGGCACACCGGCAGGGGACGGCCGAACTAGCTGCTCTTGATACCTCCCTAGAGGTAGCGAGCCTCTTAGTACCGCTACGTTTCCGGGCGGTAACTGAGAGAAAGAACCTTGTGCGGAGGGACCACCTCAATGGCCTCCTTCTCTAAGATAGTAACTACTTCTTATTCTAATACCAGAGCCTGCTCGGGACCCACTAGAGTGGGGGCCCCCATTGAATCGAGGCGGACGAGAACCGAACTGGATTCTGTAGCCTCTTCCTACAGTACGCAGGACCCATTGAGACACATTTGGCAGTAGCTTCCACACTGCTAAATAATCTACTAAGGGAATCAGTCTCTCGAAACTGATCTCTGGTGTGCCCAGAACGGCTAGTTCGGTGCCTTGAAGCGTCTGCACACTGACAGGGGACGCTGAACTAGCTGAACGCGTGCTCTCACTCGAGAAATTTATATCCCAAGAGCCCCTGTATATCTAACTTCTCATAGTCAGACAAATACTTAATTTTATTCCTCAGAATTAAATGCAATCAAACAACCAGACGCAGAGGAAGCAGATCCATACACGAAACCCACGAGCACAGCCACCGCTCCACCTCGGCGAAAGCGGGCCGGCACCGCAAGGAACGCTAGTGAAGGCTCCCTCCTCAAAGAGAGCCCTCTCAGAGCGAAGCAAGGCAGTAACAACTGTGCTTCGCTCCCAAGCAAACCACGCACAGGCTGTGTGTATCCCCACTCGCGCTATAACGTTTTCTTTGGGCAGGGAGGAACACACAACCTACAACGTGGCTTGTTCTCGCCCTTGAAATGCTTTGTCTTTGCATGAGCTTAGACATAGCTGGAGCTTATAGACTTTCACAATTGACACACAGAGCGCTTCGCTGAATGACAGAAAGCTGACGCTGGCTCCGCCGCAAGTATTTTTATAGCTTCCTGGTCATGACATCACCCGCCCGTGACGTCCCGCTCAGCTATTGGATTGATTTCACATGTTATTCAGAGCGTGGTCACAGAAGGCATTCCCCTTGCATTTTCCGACGCAGCTCGAGTTCCTGAAGAGGAACTTTGACACTTCAAAAAGTTCATAAAGCGATCGTCACGCAAGCACATTTGATGTTGTCTATGTATGTGTGCTGATCAATGTTTATATTTGAATAAAAGAATATATTAAATCTGTTCATCATAAAGTGATCATGTCTCTTCGGAAGACTTGGGTTAAAGTGCTTGATTCATATGGATTACTTTTATGATGTTTTTTATAAACTTTTTGAAGCATTATAGTTTTGGTGGAATGGACTTTCAATGGAGGAACAAAAATCACTTAGGTTTCATTGTGGTTCGAAGATGAATGAAAAGCCACTTTTCCATCAAAATTACCTGGAACAATTTGTCCCAGGAACTTTTTCCCCCCAGACCTGTTGCTGTCTGTGTTTCCATCGCAGCCTAAAGTACCGTGAAGATTAGGCAAATAGTCTGGTGATGTAGTAGGACTGCACGCAACTGCTCCTCCCAGTCCAGGAGGGGGCGCTAATGTCGATCAACGATTGCGTCATACAAAGCGATGGACAATCATAATTGTTTTGTCACCGTTTCATCATTTCATCCTCGGCACTGCACCAACGCCGCACCGCAACAGACATACAAGTGGTTGTATTTCAACCACCAAAAATGGAGGTTGAAATACAATGTGGCGTAGAGTAAACCAATCCAAATGCTGCGTGAACTCAACCAATCAGCATGTTCAGTGCCCAAGTCCCACCCCCAAAAGTTCCAGACCTTTGAAAAAGTACTACCTCGTGAGCAGGGACTTTCTGAGGGGCAAATTTATTTAGATCCTGGTTCCTGCGGTGGAAAAACACAGATTACCGCCCCAAAGTCCCCAGTTCCTGGGGAAAGTTCCTGTGGTGGAAATAGGCTTAAAGACTAATAGGTTTAAAATGACATGAGGGTGAGTAATTTATGACAGAATTGTTCATCTTTCGGGCAAACTATCCATTTATCATGGTATGACCAACTGGTATATGGTTTGTTTTCCAATCCAAGATGTTCTACAATTTTAGACCAGCTTATGACTATCTCAGACCAGCTTAAACCAATAAAATACCAGCTACCATGTCCCAAGACACAGCATAAGCTTTATTTTCCAACAGTGTAGTTAGTTACAAGTACGGGCTGACATTTGGCTAATTATATTTTGTACTCAATTGTATTGTCGTTTTGCAACAAACAGCAATGTTCAAAGCAATTCCAACAAAGAAAAGCCAAGCAACATAGTACACAGCACAAGCAACAAATCTATCCAGCAGAAAAAAAGGCTTATAACCAGAAATAAAGATTTGATAAGTGTGCTAACATTACTGGCAGCATAATGTCTCTATTTCTTTATCACTCTCGCTCTCACCTGCACATGCTGCTTTTCCTGGAGCCGGAGCTGTTGGGAGAAGAGGGGGGAGTCTGGTAGGACCAAGAGTAATCTGAACCCTTAAGGTCTTTTATTACCTGAAAGAAAGAGACATAGAGAGGCAGTCTTAGAGTTAATGGCCTTTTTTCTGCAAAACACTGTACATACATGGTGACTGGAGTACATAAGAAGGATGTGCACCTGCTCACTGGCTGGGGGCAGTTTGTGGGGGTCTGAGGTTAACACGGTGAGGTCATCAATAATGGCCTGCAGATGAGTGATCTCTCCCAACATGGCAATCTCTCCATTCTAACAACACACGAGGATAAAACCACAAGTTCATAGATCAGATTTTAACATCACATAATGCCATTTAAATGTCAGACAGTAACATATTCTAAGAGCATAATTTTTGCTTTAAATCTTAAGACAGGTTCCTCATTACCACTACCATATACAGTATGACGAACAAAATTTTGATGAAACATTTCCTCTTTACTTTTAAAAACATAAATCTGGATTGGAGAGTGAATGAACTGCATAAAGTGTCCAGCATACACTAACGTTCAAAAAAATTTAAATAAAAAAATTGAACTTTCTATTCATCAGAGAATATACAGGTGCATCTCAATAAATTAGAATGTCATGGAAAAGTTTTTTCCATGTTTTCCAATTACATTTATTTCAGTAATTCAACTCAAATTGTGAAACTCGTGTATTAAATAAATTCAAAGCACACAGACTGAAGTAGTTTAAGTCTTTGGTTCTTTTAAATGTGATGATTTTGACTTTGACCAATTCACTATCTCAACAAATTAAAATACTTCATAAGACCAAT